GAGTGCAATTAGCGGCGCCCAGACAAGACGCGATAAGTCGAACCAAGAAGTTCGATTGCCTGCCGCCGAACCAGAGCGGTAAGTATAGACAAGCCCTAAGTGTCATATAGATTTATACTCTGTAGGTCAATCAGCTGATCACTTGGCACCTCCATTTTGGATACCAATAGTCCCATTACCAATTCCTTGGCTACCCAACGCTTAACCTGTCTCCATTCTAGAGTGCAGTGACTCACATGACTATGTCACCTGTTTTTAACCCATGACAAATCTTTCCCATTTATCGTCTGGTCATTTATTTCCTTAACAAGGGGATTTTGATTCATAGGGTCACCTTTACTTACTCTTTGATTAATGTTTTCCAAAAAAAACTAACAGGTTAGTGCAACATGATTTTTCCTAGCTGGTTTAACCTTATGAAGTCATTCTACGGTTAGAGCACGTGTCTGGTTCTATTCCCATTCCCAGCTCTGCCATTGACTCAATTTTGTCATTTACTTTGATGTCTGTATGGAAATATCAGGTGCAGAGAGATAAGAAGAACAAAGTACAGCTTACCTCACTAGGTCAGGGGAACTGCATATAATGGAATATAATGCTGTGGTTTGCACTAGCTGCTACTGAAGGGCTGCACAGGTGCTCTGTGCTTTGCCACTGGGTTTAGAGGGAGAATTCAGTTTCCACCACCCACGTCACAAGGATTGATCCAACACCCATGGAAGTCAATAGAAGTCTTTCCTTTAAGCTTTGGATCAGAATATGCATAGGGACCAGGATTTGGCCCTTGCTATCTACACAAACAAAAATATGCACATGCACCAAAAATATATTTATTTTGTTGTACTTTAAAGGTGCCAAGAAATAAAAATAATAATTAGAAAATCATTCTTTTACCTGTGGTGCTAATGGCACCTCAAAATATTACAACGAAACTTTAAACATCCTGCTTAGTTGTTGATAGACATGCTATTTGGAAATTTAAAAAAAACTTCACTGAGCTGTGACGGTGAAACTAGACTGGTTTCCTTAGTCAGTTTCACAGTTTAAGACTAACTCATTTGGCACTGTCCCTTTCAATACATTGATATTTCCAAATACAGGTTATATACGCAAACAGATATTCGAGTGTAAGATACAGAAGCGTAATTTAAAAGCTTTTAAAACCATTTTAAGGTGCTGAGATATCATTTATCACATCAATTCCTACCTGTTTCACCTCTTGGCAGGTGAGCACAGATCCCAGAGGGACAGGTATTCTGCACTGACAGATTCTGACTCCTTATTAAGCTCTCATGGTAGATATTTTGTTAGCTCTGTAGCTAACAATGAGTCTGTTTCATGGAAGGCTCTTAATTGGATGGATGGCTTTTTGCTTGCTGAGAAAAACTCAATGCCAGTTTTAATCCTAGAGGTGTCTCCTTTTGACAGAGGTTTTAGTGGGAGGAATCTACAGGAATTTATTTCTTTGTGACTAGAAATTGTGAAATAACTAATCATTTGTGAAGTAACAGACAGAACTCACCATTTCTCTTCCTCGATTCCACTTCCTCCAGAACTTGAATCAGTTCCTCTATGGTGTTGCAAGTTGACATTTTTTTTCCGTTTTACAGCCACAGGTGGATGCAATTGCTGAAAAAAATCAGGCCATCAAACCATGACTCAGAGTTTGCTATGTGCTTATTATTAGCTTAGTTTTCTCTAAATGCAAACAAAGGACTGGATCCTGCACTCTTTATTCATTGGGCTCCATTTCAGTGGCACTACTGACATGAGTAAGGGTGGAAGGTTCAAACCCTGGATTAGGACAAAGTACACTCTAAATCTCCTAACAGGTTCTTTATATACTAAAGGGCTCAAGTGCGTCCTGGGAATTACTGGTGCTAGACAACTTACGGAAATGTACATAAATAATAGAATTATAGGACTGGAAGGGACCTCGAGAGATCTTCTAGTCCAGTCCCGTGCACTCAAGGCAGAACTAAGTATTATCTAGACCACCCCGGCAGGTGTTTGTCTAACCTGTTCTTAAAAATCTCCAGTGATGGAGATTCTACAACCTCCCTAGGCAATTTATTCCAGTGCTTAACTACCCTGACAATCAGAGGTTAAGGAGAACAATTTTTCTCCCTCCTCCTTGTAACAACCTTTCATGTACTTGAAAACTGTTATTTCCCCTCTTAGTCTTCTCTTCTCCAGACTAAACAAGGCCAGTTTTTTCAATCTTCCCTCATAGGTAATGTTTTCTAGACTTTAATCATATTTGTTGCTCTTTTCTGGACTCTCCAATTTGTCCACATCTTTCCTGAATTGTAGCCCCAGAACTGGACATAATATTCCAGTTGAGGCCTAATCAGCGCGGAGTAGAGTGGAAGAATTACTTCTCATTTCTTGCTTACAACACTCCTGCTAATACATCCCAGAATAATGTTTGCTTTTTTTTGCAACAGTGTTACATGTTGACTCACATCCCTCCTTCAAACCCATTTTTTTAAACTAACAGTCCACCACTTTCATGCTAAACATGTTAAATCATTCTTTCAACATCCAAAAACACCTATAAGTCCCCATGACACGACATCTCTGGTGTCTGTAACCCAAACAACACCTCTCCCTCTCTGCTTGCTCTGACTCACGATATTCCTCCCTCCACCTTATGACAAGATGTTTTCCCTACTGTGCCATTGGATTGGTCTCAGTTAAATGAAGCTACAGGGACCTTGTCTGATCACAGTATCTGTGAAGCATCATGCATACCAGAAGGCTACTCAAATAAATAAAAAAGCATAACAACTGTATGTGCAAATATAACTAAGGCCTCCCTACGCTTTTAAACATGGGCATTTTCAGCCATCTTCAAAATCAGCCTTTAAAATTTGTATGTTCAAACAGATTTGTGCATACCAATGCAAAAATTATGAGCACAAAATTAGAGGCCAGTTTTTAAACGTATGACCCAGATGATCTTGCTACATGTACTATCAATTACAAGATTCCATGGGATGCAAGTTAGCAGAATGTGGCCATAAATAAAAATGAAATATATGTATGAAAAGCTACTATTTTGATAAAGCAAACAAAAAAAATCAGACATTACTGCACACAGGACTAGACTGATCATTTTCTATTCAATCCACAACATGTATAGTACACAAACATTCAAATAAGCGATAACCAGTGTCGTCTTTTGACAGAGCATCCAGACCTGTGCATCTTGTCAGTGCTACATGCTTGGTATACACCACAGTTATATGATTAATAGCCAAATAGCCAGTCACTCTCCTCTCCCCTTTACCTGATAGTTTGGCACTATTCGAGCCTCAGTACTCTTCACCATGTTGAAGCTGAAACCATTCTGGCAGTCATCTTTATTCTTACGTCTTTGATCAACGCACTCAATCTTCTCACTCTGAATTGCCTTTGGTTCCTTCACAGCTTTTGAGATAGCCTGGAAATGGTCAACCTCCAAAGCACTTTGCACCCCAGGCACTCGCAGTGGTGGTGGTATATAGTTCCTTGATGGAGGGCCTACTGCCTTCCACAAAAAAACACCAGCACCTGAAAAGGGGATCTTGGTATTTTTGAGAATATCATCAATTTTATCTAAGTAGCTCTCTATGGACTTCTGCTTAGAAACTTGTTCTGCTTGGATTTCCTTAAGCAGCTTGTGTTGGTTTTGAACAGTCTCTAATTTGTCTAATTTCACTTCTGTTCTGTAAAGGGAATCTGTTGCCTGCCGCAATAAGGTCTGAGAAATCTTGAGATTAAGGACACATTTGCTGATGTGCTGCTCAGTTTTGGATGGGCTACGCACACTTTCCCTGACATCTGCTCGCAAACAGTGCAGCATGCATGACTCGGAGGCCTCACTTAGTCTCTCTACCTCCTCTATACTGTACTCTGTACCCATTTCTGAAGAGCTGTCTTCTTCACTAGAATTTGGCTGCTCCACTAACTGTATTTTAGGAAGCAGAGGTAGGATCTGGGAGACGGCCCTGTCCTCGTCTACATTTTGCTGTTTTATTTGATCTTCCAAAGCACGATCTAATCCAGCTAGTTCTTCCAGAACATCTTCATGTAATTCTGGATAACATGCATAGATTTCATTGATTTCAAAACTACAGAGGCTGTCGTCCACATCGCTAACACTGTAGGTCCTCTGGAGTTCAGAAGCTATATCTTGGCTCAGATCCTGTGTAACTGGCTGAATACAAGTTATACCCTCACGATCTATGATGGTTTCTTTTTCAGCAGGAGAAACTGAACATCTTGGTGCAGTAAAGCTGCCATCTGAAAAATCAGATGTTAATATTAAGCTACTCTTTTAGGCCTCCATTACACATATTGCTTAGACATTTAAAATCTCTTTTTGTTATTTGAGTAGCAGCATTCAACCCCTCTGTTTATAAGCATTTCTATTATCATCACACACTATCTTCAAAAGTAGACCCTGTTTAATGGGGTCTGGGAGGTAGGACACTAGGCTTATGCCTTATTCATTTCAACATGCGCCACAAGATCTTTAGTACTGAAAGAGTACTAGACCTGGAAGAGTCACATTTTAATAATTAATGTCCATTTTCCTTCCTTAACATATGTAAATGACTTTTATCAGAGCTGGCCAGAAAATGGAAATCACTTCCCACAAAAAAATTCACCTTTTTGAAAATAATTTCCTCCCAGACCAGAATAAAAAAGTCAAAGATAGGACATTTTCATGGGAAGGGATTTCCAGAAAGATTCCATTTTGGAAGAACCTAAAAGGATTTTTTCAGCTTGCTACTCATCTGGAATGCTCTTGTGAGCTTCACTTGCCACCTCCCTGCTTCCCCCCGAGCAAAGCTGGTGGACAGGCAGAAAAGCAGGGAGGCAGAGAGCCATCATTTCGATTTTCCCAATGAAAACATCAACATTTTTCAGCAAAACTGAAATGTTCCCATGGAAAATTTTGTACAAAATGGGCATTTTCTGTCAGAAAATCATTCCAACAGAAAATTCCCAACCAGATCTAGCCTGGACCCTATGGTTCCACTACAGAAGCAAAAGGAGTATATGGGGACTTTACATATGGGTCCATATTCCCTGCAGCCCATGGAGCTCTGAGAGCTGAGGTGGGTCCATAAGTCTCTTCTGCAAAGGGAGTGTGGCAACAGCAGGGATCTACTGCAGCCTTCCGCAACCTGTTTTAGAGGGGAGTAAGGAAAGAAGGGGAAATATGTCCTGCCCCAAAGCCCTATGGGAATTTCTTCCAACAGCTGTTCTAGTTCCACGATTTGGCTCTAACTCAGTGGAGTTACACCTTCCAAATGATAGGACACACTTTACTAAATCTTCTACTGGCCTATGGCTACTGGCAGCACAAAATTGTTTGAGTGCCAATGGCCAAGTTATCAGGATTAGTCCCCCCGATCCTGGGGGGATAAGAGAAAACACCAGTGTGAAGGCTCTTGACATGCCCCCCAGGAATAGAAACATACCAGTCTTTGTTATCTCCTCTTCTTGCAGCTCTAGCATTTCCCTCTTGTAATTAGATGCAGACCCCAAACAGATGTTTATATCTGGAAATATGTCATGCCTTTGTGCAGTTGAGCTTTCATCAGAGCGACCAATTCGAGACTCAATCAAGTCCTGTAACATAAGGAAGGTTGTGAGCGGAAGTTTATTTGGTATTCCAATGTCTTCAGCTTTTATTTTAAACTGATTTGCCCAAATAAACAAAAGAAAACTCAGACCCAGACTTAAACAGAACAACTTGACCTTTAGGAGACAATTAACTCTGATTAACCTAATACGATTTTAAAAGCATAAAGGCTACAATCATGAGAGTCACCTTTAAGTCATTCTTCAATATATAGCGAATACCCTGAAGACTCATGGAGCGGTCGTTTTGTTTAGGCGCTAGACCTGTCTTTACAATGTCATAGTACGGGTTAGGAAGCCTGACATCAGTTTCCAAATGTTGCCCAGAAACTACGAGTTCTTTAATACCTGAGCCTTCAAGCCCATTCCAGGGAAGAGTTTCTGTAAGACATAACAAATACTGTCTGGTTTACAGCATGGCCCTAACCAAAGAAGGGGAAGAATCACAGAAACAACTGCCACTGTAAATCAGACCAACAGTCCATCTAGTCCAGTATCCTGTCTCTGACAGCCAACACTGGATGCTTCAGAGGAAGCTGCCAGAAATCCCGTAGTGGACAATTATGGAATAACTTGCCCACAGGAAATTTCTTCCTAAACCCTCTCAGTAGTTGTTGGTTTATCCCTAGGATAATTTTTTTCATCCCATCTGCTATAACTGTGGATGTTCTCGTTATCAATATAAAAGTCTAATCCTTTTTAGAATTTTAATAAACTCTTTGCCTCTGTGATACCTTGTGGCAATGAGTTCCATAAGTTAACTGTGTGCTGTGTAAAGAAGGATTCTCTTTTATCTGGTTTAATTTGTTACCTTACATTTTCATTGACTGTCCTCTTGTTTTAGCATTATGAGAAAAGGTAAATAGGAAGAAGTGCCTCATTTACCTTCTGTAAACCACTGTTTGTTCACCATCTCCTCTTTAAACAAAGCAATCCCAAGTGTTTCAGTTTCTTTTCATATGAAAATCTTTCCAAGCTACTGTCATTTTTGTTACCCCTCTCTGAGCCCTTTTTATTTCTGCTATATAATTTTTCAGATAGGATTATCAGAACTCAACATAGTATTCCAAGTGCGCACACGACACATTTGTATCACAGCATATTTTTAGTATATTGTTCTATCCTGTTCTTTACAGAGCCTAACATTTGGTATGCTTTTTGGACCAGCAGTGCATGTCGAGTTTTCATTAACTTCTCCACAATGATGCCTATGTCTTTATCCTGAGTTATTATAATAAATTTAGATCCCAGCAACATTTACCTTTAATTCCAATTATTCCTTCATTCAGTGGTGATTGTCAGCCTGGAATTTTATCTGCCATGGTGCGGCCCATTCATTTAGCTAGGTAACAGCTTGAAAATTCCTCCCAGTCTTCTCCAGTCTACACCAGCCTATCTAATCTTGTGCCATCTCCAATTTTATCATCTCACTTTCCCCCCATCATTATTAATGATTCTAGTACAACCCCATAATGAAATTTTGATACATTGAAACCAACACTTGTAGGCAAATTATCTATTATTTCTTCACTGTCCCTCCAGAAACTTTGCTGAATCCAGTGTTTATTTCACTAGTTAAAAAGGGTGCTCCTAGCTTCTCCCCAAATATCAGCAGGTTATGCAGAAGGTTAGAGGAGCACATATCATGCAAATAAGACAAGTGATGTCTTCTTTTCTTTGCAACTCTCTTTCCCATAAGAAGAAAACTTTAATCACTAAAGGAGCTTTGCAGGAGGGTATGCAATTACCTAAGGAGATTGCACTGACACTTCATGTATTCAGGGTACTCCATGATAACTCAGGGTATGTCTACATTGCAATTAGAAACCCACGGCTTTTGGGCTCAGGCTGCTGAGCGGTTTAATTGCTGTGTAGACATTTTGCCTCAGGCTGCAGGCTGAGCTCTAGGCCGCTGGGCCCCTCCCACCTCACAGAGTCCTAGAGCCCCAGCTCCAGCCCAAGCCTGGAAGTCTACACTGCAATTAAACAGCCCCGCAGCCCAAGCCCCTCAACCCTGAGTCAGCCAAAACGGACCAGCTGCAGGTGTCTAATTGCCATGTAGACATACTCTCAGTGACAAAAGTCTGAACCTCTTTAATTATACCTGTGAGGGCTTCCTGCATTACTATACAGAAGCTATAAATGTCTGATTTGACTGTGGCGGCCTTTTCGAGGATCACTTCAGGAGCACACCACTTATACAGCTGGGCTGGGACAGGAACACGTGTGAGATCACTGTGGTCTCCTCCATCCTTGCTGCCAGAAGAGAACACAAAACAGGGTCAAATTTGGGAAACCATAACATATGATGAGTAGCTGGTCTATCCAATGTAGTGAGAGACAAAAGGATTCAATAAATCATGTTTAGACTGGGAAACAAACCAATCAATGTCAACTGAGTTGGATGTTTGATTAATTCTGTCTAGGATGTTAAGTTAAAAATAGACCTACCACTGCAATGCCTCCTTTGGAAACTCTGACAGTATGAGATCCAGCAATTAATTTCTTTATTTTCATATATGCATTTATTTTAAATGATCCATGCTATACACAAAATTTACCCAAAAAAAAGGAAAACCAGCTCAAAAGCAGCTTTTTGAATGAACATTTACAATATTTTATAGAAATAAACAGCTTGTATTGGCACATTATAGAAGAGACCTCTGTTGGTAAAATTAAGATATAGCAGTCTATTTCAAAGCTTTATCCTCAAATAAAGACAAACCAGAGGTTAAAGATGTCCAAACTATGGGGTATTTTTACAACCAAGTCTTTCACTCTGGTCAGCATTCATAGCACAGGTGAAAGACTAGTGAGTTGTGCCATCTGGCTTGTTTATATTCATTTGGCAGTGTAATGCCAGTACTTCTATATGATTAAAAGTTAATTTCCCACTACTCTCCACACAATAGTTACACCTCATTCTTCTTCATTTTAAACTGAGAATAAGTGTTCTTTAAAAATCATTGTCCAGGACAAAGGATTTTTTCTGATTCTACAGATGCTCATTTCCCCTTAATTTAATATTGTTAAAGGGAATATGGTCAGATATTTTAGGTAGAGACCACATGCTAGTGAAAAGCAGTGCTGCAGGCTACACTTCATGTATATTCAAGAGAAACAATTGACTCAAACCTCATTTCTGTCAAAATATTGTACCTATCATGAACACAAGTAAGACCTAAGACTTATTTATAACTGAAAGAAGTTAACAGGAGTGGAGAGGAAATTTCTCTATTTCTTTCAGTTAATTTCCTTTGCATACTTGGCAATTTTTTTGGCTTATACTCAATTTCACTCTTTTCCTTTAAAGTCTTATCATCCAGTTTCTCCTTTTCTCAGCAAACACCTATAATCACCACCCGGGAAGTGGAAAAACCCAGCTGCACTTTTTAAATTTTAAAATGGAACTTTAAAAAAACAACTAAAGACATACTATTTAGTGCCTAAAACCATTTTAAAAAATAATATTTTTTTAAAAGTTCAAATTAACAATATCCCTTCACACGGGAAATAAACGTGTATAAGACAGAACAGGAAAGTGATAAAGCTTGGCAAGAGGCTGCTATACCTCATTTTCACCAACAGAGGGCTCTGCTAATATATGGCAATAATAACTATTTCTACAGAAGTTGAAATATGATTCTTTTTCAAAGATAACTTGAGGTGTGTGTGTAAGCACATGCATATATATATTAGAACCCTCTTTCTGGGTTTGGTTCAATTCCCATTTAGCCAATGACAGTCCTTCTATTAACATTAATGGGAGACGGATGGATCCCATAGTGAAATAATGTTATTCAGAGAGAAACCGCACCATGAATGTATATATATGCAAGGTGCTGAGTATCCCTAATTTCAGTGGAAGTTGTGGGGGCCCCAGGCTTTTGTAGGATCAGATTTCATAAGCAGAGGTTCATTATAATCCGAATACACTGAAACTATTTACACTAGAGAATTAACAGTCTCCAATAGGATTTCTGTCTCTGTATGGTCACTAGATGCAGGTTCCATGTTCTGTTCTATGTCTCTATTGCAGTGCCTTTACACTAGAGTGGAACAGAGACCTTTCTTCTACTGTTAACCTCTATTTTCAGTTATTTATAGGGAAGCCATAAAAACTGAGATCACCTGAAATGTATGACACTGAATGAGAACTGACCATGTATCTGAGCCATGGAGATGTGAAAATCCCTCTCCCTACAGTCAAATCTGCAACGCTGTCAAAGAAAGATTAGGATGGATCTCTATGGCATTGCTCATGCACGGTGATCCACAAGTAATCAGGAGAGCTGCAGGATCACCCTGACAACAGAATTCAGTCCTCAATTTGGCTTCACCCACCCACCTTTCCAAGTAACAATGTGATAATTCTTTACCTTTCTATCATGTACTCCAAGTTGGTTAACTTTGCCTCACCAGCAGAAACAATTTGTACAGCATAAGAAGTGAGTGAACGGTGGATAAATCCACGTGAGTGCAAAAACCTCAAAGCATCATTAACCTGAAGCAGCAGATGCACAATTGTCTCCATGTGCAATACTGGGAATTCTGAACGCTGGGGGGGAAAAAAACACAACAGAAGACTCAAGCATTCACATTGCTGATAACTGAAGAGCAACATAATGCAAAAGCTATTGTTAACTTAACATCAAAGGTGGAGAAATCAAAAAGTGAAGGTTTTGACTGTAAAGTTAACTCAATCCCATTGCTCATGAAGAATAGTATATGATCTATGTGAAACCAAACAGTAATACATTAAAAAGAACAGAAAATAATACATATGTGCAACATGCCAAAATTAACATTGTAATAGAAACAGATTTTGGAATTTCTCAACTTTGTGTTTTATTTCTCTACCTCAGTGATAATATTTTGCATGTTTCCCCCTTTTGTTAAAGAAAAATGGGTAAGCAATCAGTCATGGGAAAGGGAGAGGGAAAACAATTAGCACCAATAACAGAATGCAAAACAGTTGATAAAACCTATTACTCAGTGTTGTAACTCCGCTCTAATCTGCCCTTTGATACATATAGAATCACAGAAATGTAGGGTTGGGAGGGACCTCGAGAGGTCAGCTAGTCCAGCCCCCTAAGCTGAGGCAGGACAAGTAAACCTAGACCATCCTTGACAGACATTTATCCAACCTATACTTAAAATTTTCCAATCATGGGAATTCCAAAACCTTATCTGGAAGCCTATTCTAAAGTTTAACTATCTTTATAGTTAGAAAGTTTTTCCTAATATCTAACCTAAATCTTCCTTGCTGCAGATTAAACCCATTATTTTTTATCCTACTGTGACACTAATCACCCCTTCATTCACACACTACACTCTACTGAAATAATCTTTGTACAAAATATAACTTGCGAGGTGAAATCTAATAACTCGTTGATCATTAATGTTCTTGTGTGATATATGTATTCAGTGTGTATAAAGAGTTATGGATTTCCCATTTTGTAGTTGTGCATTTGATTTTTCCCTTCCTATGTGTAATACTTTACACTTGTCTTTATTGAATTTCATCTTGTTGACTTCAGACCAATTCTCCAATTTGTCATGGTGATTTTGAATTCTAATCCTGTCCTCCAAAGTGGTAGCAACTTCACCCAGCTTGATTTCATCTGCAAATTGTATAAGCATACTCTCCACTACATTATCTAAGTCATTAATGAAAATATTGAATAGTACAGGACTCAGGACTGACCTCTGAGAGGCCCCAGTTTGACAGTGAACCATTGATAACTATTCTTGAGTAAAGTCTTTCTTTGAGTATAGTTATACACCCACCTTATAATAATTTCATCAAGACCACATTTCCCTATTTTGCTTCTGAGAATGTCACATAGGACTGTGTCAAAAGTCTTTAAAAAATACTCAAGATATACAACATCTACTGTTCCCCACCCCACTACACACATACACCATCCATTAGGCCAGTAACCCTGTAGAAGAAGGAAGTTAGGTTGGTTTGGCATGATTTGTTCTTGATAAATCCATGCTGGCTATTACAATCACCAGCCAATTACTAATCCTATTATCCTCTAAGTGCTTATAAACTGATTGTTTAATAATTTGTTCTAATGTTTTTCCAGGTATAAAAGCTGTGCAGCTCTCAGTGAAGTCACTATTAATTGAGTACCTGAGTTCTAGAGCAAAATTTGACTCAGTTACATTTGCAAATTATAATAATTTCCATGGAATGGGACTGCGGAAAGGATCAACTAAATCAAGGGTAGGCAACCTTTCAGAAGTGGTGTGCCAAGTCTTCATTTATTCACTTTAATTTAAGGTTTCGCGTGCCGGTAATACATGTTAACGTTTTTTAGAAGGTGTCTCTCTCTAAGTCTATATAATATAAGTAAACTATTGTTGTATGTAAAGTAAACAAGATTTTCAAAATGTTTAAGAAGCTTAATTTAAAATTAAATTAAAATGCTGATCTTACGCCGCCAGCCTGCTCAGCCTGCTTCCAGCCTGGGGTTCTGTTCACCTAGGCCTGCAGCGGGCTGAGCAGGGCCTGTCGCCGGGACGCCGGCTGGCAAAGGACCGGCAGCCCGGACCCCAGACCTGGGGGGAGTTCAGAGGTCAGGGCAGAGGGTGTGGGGGGGGGGGTTCAGAGGTCAGGGCAGAGGGCAGTGGAGATGTGGGGGGTTCAGGGCAGAAGGCCGGGAGTGTGGGGGTTCAGGGCAGAAGGCTGGGTGTGTGTGGAGGTGCAGGGCAGAAGGTTGGGTGTGGGGGGGTTCAGGGCAGAGGACTGGGGTGCTCCCTGCCCTGAGCGGCTCATGACAGGGGGCCGGAAGGGATATGCCCTGTTCCACCCCCTTCCCCAAGGCCCCGTCCCTACCTCTTCTCTGCCTCCTCTGTGGAGCAGCGAGCACGCTGCCACTCCTTTCCCTCCACCTTGCAAGGCTCATCAGCTGATCGGTGCAGGGAAGAAGAGGAGGAGGGGCAGGAAAGCACTATGCTGGGGGAAGGGGGAAGCTTGGCTGCCGCAGGACCAAGCTTCGGCCTCCTACCCCCGCAGGGGAGAGCGGTGGGCGGGGGGGCTGAGTGGGGCTGGGGGCTGAGACCCTCCCCCCCCCCCCCCCCCCCCCC